GGCATCGATAAATTCTTCTTAGTGTCTCATCAAAATATCTCTAGAATTACATTTATCTTATTTGGTTCTTCTTTTTCACTCTTTTGAGTACACGGAGAACAAATGATCAGTGACTTCAGTTACTAAAATCCTTCAGTTACTTGATGAAAACCATCAAGCCTCACTTGAGTCAGCTGTAGAATGAGCACTTCTAATATTTTTTTCACAAGACCTGCTCTGTTCTTTTAGCTTTTTAATCAGTGACAATGGGGAGGTTATCCATGGAGAGCATTAAATGAAAATCCAAATGTTGCAGCAAATATTTAAATTGATTAGAAGGAGCGTAGGACATGAAGGGAACTAATATATGTTGGGTGTCTATATGAGAAGTTATACTAGCCGTTTAACTACATTAAGGCACTAATTCAAGTAATATGCTATCAATTCTATAAACTAGGTGATATCATTGATATTTTATAGTTGAAGCTAGGAGACATTGACTAAGATATATACAATGAGTTGCAAAAATTTCTGAGGAATGTATAAGTAGGTAATTTGTAAGTAGTTGTAAGTAGTTAATGCCATTTGCAAGTTGTAGTTAACTCTTTTGTAATCAATCTGATGGTACAGTCATTTATATTATTTCTCCAAGAATATAACACAGGCAGAGTAGCTGAGAGCTTAAGAGTTTAGGCTTTGATCTGGATTCAAAGTGCTCTACCACTTTTTATCTATATAATGGGAAATGGATTTAATATTCCCAAGCTACAGTTTTCTCTTAAGATAATAATAAGAATACTTTATAGGATTGTTGTGAGGATTATATGAGATAACACATATAAAATCTTAGCATATTTCCATGTAAGGGCACAATACATAGTGGTTTTTATTAATATTATTGCAGGGGAGTGGTAGAGCCAAGATTTTTCGGACTTATTTATCTTAGTATCTTCAGGGCTTAGAGTAGTATATAGTCTTCAGAAGAGAGAGTTGTCACACAGCACGGAGAGAGTGAGTTAACAAAGAATATTTAGGAATAGTTAAGCAAGTAAGGGTCTTCTTAGGCCTAGAGAATGGCAATATTGACAACACATGTACCTAAAAGTATGAAAGGAAAATATCAGAGTTTGATATTTTTGGTGGTTTGCTCCAAAAATACCAACAAATAAATTGCGATGCAGTGAGAGATTATTTTTTAATCTGATGACAGTGCATGACTTCAATTGGGTCAGAGAAAACTAGATGCTCAGATTGGAGGCTGAGCCTTGGATGAGAGGGGATGAAGGCCTGCTCCAGGGTGGCAAAGGGAACAAAAGAAAGGCATAGATTTCAGAGACATCATGAAAGAAGATGCAGGCTCAATAAAGTATCTTGAGTACCTACCATGGGTTAGGTGTCATGCTAGGAGCCTGTGTGGTTTTCTCATTGATTTGGAGGTGACAAACTGAGGCTCTGAGAGACTAAGTGATTTGCTTAGTGTCACAGAACTAATAACAGATTTAACGTGGGGTTCTCATTCCAAGGCCAGCTTTGATTTTTAAATATACGTCAACTACCTCTCTTGGAGTCAATGACAAATTGGACATGGAAGAAAGATGAGGAGGGAAGCAAGATAATTGAGAACATAATAATACCATGAGAAGTCAAGAAGTGAATATGCACTAGCATACATATCTATACATGCACACACACACACACACACACACACACACACACACACACTGTCCCATCCTCCCTGTTATGGTCTGAATGTTGGCATCTCCCTTAAATTCATACGTTGGAACCTAGCACCAGTGTGATAGTATTAAGAAGTGGGAGTCTTTTGTGAATAAAGTTATGAGGGCTCTGTCTTCATGAATGGGATTAGTACCTCTTATAAAAGAGGTTGAAGGGAGCTGCCTTGGCCCTACTGCCATGTGAAGATGAAGCAACAAGGTGTCATCTATAAAGCAAAGATTCCTCACTGGACACTGAATCTGCTGGTGCCTTGATCTTGGACTTCCCAACCTCTGGGACTGTGAGAAATAAATGCCTATTATTTGTAAGTCTTAAGTCAGTGTCCAATATGAGCATCCAGTTTTCTCTGACCCTATTGAAATTTTGCACTGTCATCATATTAAAAAAAATCTCTCACTGCATTGCAATTTATTTATTGATATTTTTGAGCACCCAGCCTAAGGTATTTTTTACAACAGTCTGAATGGACTAAGACGCTCCCAAATATATAACAACACACAAAGATTCTCTAGTTAATATCCATAATCACACAGAATCCACAAATCTCTTATCTGACAGCAATGTTTTGAAATAAACTTGGGTAGTATGCCTCCCAAAAAGAACCAAATACAAATAGATATAGTAAAGGTATATGGCCAATTTTTATGGAACAGTGACCAAATCATAGCACTGTGGTTACATGCATTATGTCATTTAATCACAATAACCCTGTGAGAGTCTTATGAGGTAGGTATTCTCATTGAACCCATTTTACAAACAAGGAAACAGATGCACAGAAAGATTGCCCAACATAAACTGTGATATAGAGCTGGCATTGTCTTTTAGCTAGAAATTGGAAATTGGAAGCATAAGTATATTCCATGCTTTGTTTTGCTGAATTCCTATTTTTAGGATATTTAGGTGCTACATGAGGGTATGTAAGCAACTCAGATAAACAAACATCATCTTTCTGCATTGAGGAGCCAGTGACAAAATGACAATGTATTATGACCTTTGTGTATATGTGAATAGCATATCTTAGAACTTTGCCCATAGCAAACATAGTAGAATAAATGCATCAATATCTCTGTAATAAATGGGAGATGTTGCTTCTAGCTAGTGTTCTCTGTTTCTATCTCCTAGGTACAGTATACATTTTTTAGTTGTTCACCTCTTTTTCTCTGTTATTTATTTTATCTTTCTTCCTGCAGACTTACCCTTTTAGAATATGGCCATCAATTTTTACTACCAGTGCCAAAACAGAGCTTCTCTTTTTAGCTCCACCCCAGTCCTGAGCATCTTCCCACTCCACTTGGGAAGCTGAAAACCTCACAGGCCATGCTTTTATGGATGCCTGGATACCCCCCAGTGTGGGCAATAAAGCTCTTTATAGAGAGAATGGAATTATGGCTCAGTATCTATTTGAGCTTGCTGTTCCTGGAACCAGAGATAGTTTATTTGTGACCAACAGAAAACTTACTAATCTTCTTTAAGTGACAGAAACCCAGCTGAAACTCAAGCAAAGGAAAAAAATCATTTGGTTGACTGGAACTAAGAAGAATCAAAGAGGAGCTGGAATCAGACACTATCCCAAATCTCTCTCTTTCTCTCTCTCTCTCTTTCCCATATCTCCCTCTCACTTAGAGGATTGTCAACAATGAGAAAAATACAACCTATCTCCTACTGGCTTAAGAAATAAGTCCTTCATTTCCTTCAAGTGTTTGTTCAAATCTCACTTCTTCAGTGAAGCCAACCAATTCTCACTTTATTCAACATCAAAACCTGTCCTTTTGATCCCACACTCCTGATCCTTTTTGCCATGTTCCTCTTATGAATTTTTTTCTGCTTACTATTTCCTAACATACTATAGAATTTGCTTATTTATGTTTTTAGTTTATTATCTCTCTTGGCTAGAATGTGAGTTCCACAAGGGTAGGGATCTTGTGTTTTGTTCACTGAGCTACTTCAGACCCCTAGCATAGGGTATGGGACATGGTAGATGCTCAACGAATATGATTGCATGAATGAAAGGGAATCTATTATCTTACACAAGAAGAAATCTCAAGTTGAGTGGACCCAGGATTGTTGGTTCAATGGCTCAATGACATAATTGAAAATCCTATTTTTTCCATCTTTCTTGTCTGCCATCCTCAGCACTTCAGCTAGGCCCCTTAAGCTGGCTCTCTCCATGTTTGCAAGACGGCTGCTTCAGTTCCAAGTATCACATGTTGACAAGTATCACATGGTGATAAGACATATGCGGCAACAGCAGAAGGATGGTTGCTAGCTGCTTCTTTTCTGACTCTATTTTTTTTTTCTTTAATCAGTGAAAAGTCATATATTATTTTTTAAAAGCCACACTTGCATATATAACAACTAAAGTTAAGATAACTGGTTATAATTGCATTAGTTTCTAAGCTAACCCTTACAAACAAGAATACTTATTCTTAATATAAGTTACTCAAGTGCAACAATGTGTTAGTTTTGGAAGAAATAAGTCAATGTAAATGTGTGAAATGTTAGGAAGGCATTTCTAGGGATAGTAAGTATAATAATTCAACATTGCTTTTGAAAAGTATAATAGCTAGAAAAACTATTTTTAAAAATCTATAGTAGTTTCTTATTTTGATAAAATTCTTAGAGAGAAATAAAACATGAGATCTGCCATGAAGATGACTAATGGGAAGGTGTTCTTGATTATATTAAAGTAAGGCAATGTATCTTTAAAAACTGTGAAAATGTATTTTAAAATACAAATTTTCTATACAGTATGATATAGCCAAAATATATGAGAGACAATTTATTTGTTTTTTGGCTTAATCGATGGAATGCATATTTTATTTAACCTATGTTATAGGTCAAATGGATTAAAAAATTAACTTTTGCTAAGAACATGAGACGGTAGTAAGGGGTCTGTTGAACTCATTTAATATTACTCTTTGAAAAAGTAAAGAGTATATGGTGAAAAATATTAATTGAAAAATGGACTATATTGGTTGTAATCTTGTTCAACATTATCTGTAAGCCTCATGCTTATAAAATCTGAAGCAAAAATAACTACAGATCACCCTGTTAATCCTTTGGGCATTCCTAGTTGAATTAAGTTTGTCCTTGTTAAAGAAATTATCTTCGTTTTTCTTCCCCCTCAGGCATGCATGTAAAACAGTTCCTGTCTCAATGTATGCCTTAGGCAAAAAGTTCAGTGCTCAATTACCTGCTGTCTGAAGTCTCATATTTTGCAGCAAGCAAGTGAAATAGCATTTTAATCAGAAGTCTTGACCTCTGCTCTTCTTTTCCCTTCACAGCACTGTAAGCTATTTGGCATATGAAGGTCTTGACCTAAGAAAACCATCTTGGATAACCACAGCAAGGAAAAGGAAAAATGCAACACCTAGGAGATTTCAGTAAACAGTAGAATCATGCCAACCTAATCTGTGTTAAAATGCTTGGAATGTGGGAGCCGCTGATGATGCCTGTTGTCTGTGTGTCTGACTGAATCCTTTCTTTTCTCAGAGCAGCAAAGCAAAGCCTGGGAACCAGGCCAAATGCCTGCCACTTACCTTAAATTGATCAGCCACTTTGAGATTAAAACCCCTGAAAGCTGCCACACCGTGAAAACAAGGCCTCCTTCACATTAAAGGCAAATTGCGACTTTGGGTTTGCTGTGATCTTTTTTCCATTTTATCCAGTTTTTCACAGTGCACTTTTTTCCCCCCTTTCCATTTATGCTCCAATATAGAAGCCAATAGTTACAGCATCTTGGCCAAGCATTCATTAAGGTTTATAAGAACAAAATTTATGGTTATTTAGGAGTTGGCACAAAGGCAGAGTGTTGCTGGAAAAAGAAAAAGAAATACAGGTGGGAAATAGAAGCCTCCACAAAGGCCCACACTATACAGTAGTGTACTAGGCTCTAGTAGTGGGCTGGGAGGAAAATGAAATAGTATTTGAAACCAGCTGCTCTTCTATTCTGAAGCATTCTCATTGATGGCTCTGCAGATTATTGAAACAAGTATACTGAAGAGATTTTTCTGTCTTGGGTAAATGCTACCATTTACAGGAGCTGACAGTAGAGATAAATAGATGTGTGCTAATCTGAAGATCTGTCAGTTTTGCTAAAGGATAAAGTGCATTTAAAAAAGAAATATATATCTCTCTAAAATCCTATGTAGATAGATAGAATCATATATATGTGATTAGAATGAGGTCTCTCCCATAACAAGAAGAGTCACATTATCCTCCTCAGCGGAACTTACATAACACCAAGCCTGTGTTCCCAAAAATCTAGGGTGTGGGTAAAACACACCCTTAATCTTAGAATTCGGATAGTAACGTGGAATTCTGATGCAGGCTGGAAGACTTTATTCTCCTTCAGGAAATACTGTTAATGATTCTTCGTCCTTTAAAAAAATGCCCTGGTTTTCTTCACTAGGGGAGTAAGAAAGCTCTTTGCCCTATCTTTTGCAATATTTATTCAGTAAACCTTTTAAAAATATAGTTTAGTTTCTACTCGTTGTCTAAGAACTACCTGGAGTACCATCATTTATTGAAAAAATATACAGCTTCAGTGTTTCATGATGTAAACTGTTCCTAAAATATCACTTATTTTAGCTGCACAGGTAATTCACTATATGACTTGGGGCAGGTTAATTTACATGTTCAGCCATCTCCCATTCTCAAATAGGAATACTAACAACATTTATAATAATAATATTTTATAATAATATTTAATACTAAGTATATATAATATATTATATTATAATAATTTATAATATTATTATAATAATAAATGTACTCTTCCACTGTGATGAGGTCCACTGTGATAAAGTATTTGCTTCTACTTCCATAACTTTGCATATGCTAGAATATTTTACCCTTTCCTCCCCATGAAATGAAGTTCATCATTTTTACTGACACTGTTTTGGAAGCCTTCTACCTGATTCTTTTTATTCCTTTTTATCAGCATCACTTCGACATGGATACACATACTGGTATTTTGACCCGCATTTGTTCACAGGTTGCTCTGCAACAGACCTATTTAATTGTGCATGGATATAAATGATTCCTCCTAACTATACATGCTTAAAGCTCCCCAAGGGCAAGGGGAATGACCTTCCTGATATCTCTCCACTATTACAGTCCTCTGTTCTGAAACGACACTTATTAAATCTGGAAAATTGAAGATGCACAGAATCTTTTGTGTCATTTCATAAAATGTCAACTACAACTCTGGATGCATGAGCACATATGTGATCATCATTTACAAATAATATTGATTATTTCTGAGCCTGGGTTAGTCTGTTTAGCAGTCATAAGTCATTTACCTTGTTTTGTGGAGTGTCAGAAAGCCAGAGCCAAGATAAAAGGAAACACAGAAATAGTTATGGCTCAGTCTGTTGGTCAACTCTGTTTCTGCCCCTTTTTAACCAGTTTGTCTTATAAGTTTGTCATTAAAATTTTCCATCACACCTAATAGACTTTTATCTTGATCATCAATTTTATAACTTCCAAGTCTTCAAACTTCATATTTCCTATCAATTGTGATTCTTCTGTGTTTCTTTTTTTTCCTATTTTTTAAAAATTATCTTTAAGTTCTGGGGTGCATGGGCAGAACGTGCAGTTTTGTTACATGGGTATACACATGCCATAGTGGTTTACTACACCCGTTAATCCGTCAACTACATGAGGTATTTCTCTTAGTGCTATCCCTCTCCAACCTCCCCATCCCCCGACAGGCCCTGGTGTGTGATGTTCCCCTCCCTATGTCCATGTATCCTCATTGTTCAACTCCCGCTTATGAGTGAGAACATGGTGGTGTTTGGTTTTCTGTTTTTGTGATAGTTTGCTAAGAATGATGGTTTCCAGCTTCTTACGTGTCCCTGCAAAGGACATGAACTTATCCTTTCTTATGGCTGCATAGTATTCCATGGTGTATATGTGCCACACTTTCTTTATCCAGTCTATCATTGATGGACACTGGGTTGGTTCCAAGTCTTTGCTATTGTGAATGGTGCCATAATAAACATATGTGTGCATGTGTCTTTATAGTAGAATGATTTATAATCCTTTGGGTATATACCCAATAATGAGATTGCTGGGTCAAATGGTATTTCTAGTTCTAGAACCTTGAGGAATCACCACACTGTCTTCCACAATGGTTGAACTACTTTACACTCCCACCAACAGTGTAAAAGCATTCCTATTTCTCCACATCCTCTCCAGGATCTGTTGTTTCCTGACTTTTTAATGGTTGCCATTCTAATTGGCATGAGATGGTATCTCGTGGTTTTGATTTGCATTTCCCTAATGACCAGTGATGATGAACTTTCTTTCATGTGTCTGTTGGCTGCATAAATGTCTTCTTTTGAGAAGTGTCTGTTCATATCCTTTGCCCACTTTTTGATGGCGTTGTTTTTTTGTCTTGTAAATTTGTTTAAGTTCTTTGTAGATTCTGGATATTAGCCCTTTGTCAGATGGATAGATTGCAAAAATTTTCTCCCATTCTGTAAGTTGCCTGTTCACTCTGATGAGAGCTTCTTTTGTTGTGAAGAAGCTCTTTAGTTTAATTAGATCCCATTTGTCAATTTTGGCTTTTGTTGTGATTGCTTTTGGTGTTTTAGTCATGAAGTCTTTGCCCAATACCTATGTCCTGAATGGTATCACCTAGGATTTCTTCTAGGATTTTTATGGTCCTAGGAGGGAGTCTTTGATTCATCTTGAGTTGATTTTTGTATAAGCTGTAAGGAAGGAGTCCAGTTTCAGTTTTCTGCATATGGCTAGCCAATTTTCCCAACAACATTTATTAAATAGGGAATCTTTTCCCCATTGCTTGTTTGTGTAAGGTTTGTCAAAGATCAGATGGTTGTAGATATGTGATGTTATTTCTGAAGCCTTTGTTCTGTTCCATTGGTGTATATCTCTGTTTTGGTACCAGTACCATGCTGTTTTGGTTACTGTAGCCTTGCAGTATAGTTTGAAGTCAGGTAGCCTGATGCCTCCAGTTTTGTTCTTCTTGCCCAGGATTGTCTTGGTTATGTGGGCTCTTTTGTGGTTCCATATGAAGTTTAAAGTAGTTTTTTCCAATTCTGTGAAGAAAGTCATTGGTAGCTTGATGGGTATAGCATTGAATCTATAAATTACTTTGGACAGTATGGCCATTTTCATGATATTGATTCTTCCAATTCATGAGCATGGAATGTTTTTCCATTTGTTTGTGTCCTCTCTTAT